TATATAGAGAGAGAGAGAGAGAGAGAGAGAGAGAGAGAGAATCCGCCGAGATAGAGAGAAAGAATATATATATATATATATATAGGAGTTGTACGAGACAGTGTTGTTACAGCAATGTAACTGTTACACACAAAGTAAACTGTACAACGCAGCGAAATAACGCTATTTTTACCATAGCTACAAGGTTGAGGAGCTCCGTATTGACAACCTTTAAAGTTATTCTTATTCACTAAAGCAATTCAAGATAATCGGTTGTGGACGTAATCGCATATTCTTGAGATAAAAGGCAGTTTGATTTCGCCAGTTTTTATCTGAGACCCACTCGAACATTCTGTTCTCAGTACACTCGACAGCTCATATACGATATAACTTTCATCGTAGAAATATATATATATCTCAGAGATATAAGAATAACCCCTCTGAATGCTCGTCGCATTAGTTGAGGAAAAACTGTTGCAAGAGGTTTTGAACCTTCTTCTGCTGAATGCATGCGAGACAGCCTGAGCTCTAGACATGTCGTGTTTTCAGACGCTGTTTAGATGCGTGTCAACTGAAGGATAGGAAGGGTCAGGCATCGGAAATTTGCTGATTCTTTCTCTTTCACCGTTGCGTCTCGGATAACGGAGGATGATGGAGAGCAGGGACAACAGGGTCTCAAACTAGATAATCCATCAGAAAATTCTTGGACTGTTTTAAAGAGGTCTGAACGGCTTCGAGCTAGTTCGTCTCTGCAATGCCGTCGGATCCGGTACCATAGAACGCAAGCGGAGCTAGATTAGAATGTGGGGTCGGGGAGTATTGAAATGGGTTAGTTGTACGGATCGGATTGGATAGAGTTGCTACTAGGTTCGCCAGTCTATCGTAGCTCCAGTTGTCCTCGGCGAAGCAGGCTCGTCGCATCTTGTTCTGCCTGACTCCTTCCCGTCCGACTGATTGTCGTACGCGAACGCTGAGACTGATCGCAGCAGCTGGAAAGATCGAGTCCGGACGGGACGTTGCTGTTTATAGTGGGGAGGAGAATACAGCGACAGAAGGGAACAACTACCACTGAAGCTCCGGGACAGTATCAACGTCCGTTTGTCCGTCCATCGGCGCCTTTTCCTCCTTCGCAACCTCTCTCCCTCCGTCCAAATTGAACATGTCTGTGCCAACTTGTTCAGTTGTTGCTAGCTAAAGCAGTTGCTATAGCATAGCAGCTTTTCGAGCCAGCCCCCAAAAGTTCCGTGGTATCCCTATCTTGGTTGCTTACTACACTCACTGCAATACCGAACCTGTTTGCAGGATCGACCAGACGCGCTTGCCGACCTGGCAATCCTAGATACTGGAAGTATGGGAAAAGACCGATGGGTAGGTCCACTGCAATGAGATTGTCTAGACTTGTGGGACTGTTGAAGGAATCGCCAAACCGATGGGTGTGAGTCTTGGAACAGGGGCGAGCCATTGGTTGTGTACTGCATGTGTGTAGGGTTTGGTGGGAGATGGCGACCGGGTCGCCTGGGCTAGGCAGTTGCCCAGTCGACTAGTTCCGCTGGCAGCGGAACACGGGATGTGCATTTGAGACAACCCCAAACAGCTCTACTCCCCCGCATAGGTGGGCGACATTTCCCCGTCGTTCTAGTCCCTACCGTCGGCCAAGCAGGGACACCCACTGACATGAAACACTCTCACACATACGGCGGACCACTCTCAGGCCACCGGACCGACTCGACTAGGAATCTCTCGTCTCGACTCACTTCGCGATTCGACTTCAAGCGACGGACAGCAGGAGGAGTCGAAACGGGTGCGATCTGTCGAGCAGCTAAAGCTAAGCTACACAAATAAGAGCCACTCACTGGGATGGCACTATTACCGCCATCATGCCGGGCAGAAGCGTACGCCTTGCCACTCGAGCAGACTCGATGGCACCATGACAGACCGCCTCAATCGTCGATGTTAAAGTTGCGTCCAGCACATCAGATTCAGTCACATGAACTTCGTAGGGCAATGCTCAGCGTAGTCTGGCCGGGGACAGTTCGTTTCCATACGATAAGAAAAGCCTAAAAAGTTTACGTATGGTAGAATATAAAGGTGCTCGGCTAAAGTTAAACATCATCAAGCATCTACACAGCAATCAACGTTAAAAGAGCGTGTTGTTTCCCGAAATAGATATATATATGTACGGTAAGTACTTATGTTGGTGGCACACTTCTTCATTTAGGGACGTTACCGTATGATGAATAACACGTTGCTGTGATTGTTGTTGCGACAGAATCTACTGTTCATTCAAACACCTTTTCGCTCTGTTGATCCGAGTCGCTGATGCTAGTAGACGTTGAAGTAGCAGATGGTACCGGAGTATGATCTAAAAAAAGTTTCGATATCTGTGGGCTTTTGTCGAAGTTAAGCATAGACATGTACAAAAACAATTAGGTTACAACACTGCTCATAGTTTACATAGCTCTAAAAACATATTCGTTCTCGCTGTATATTTAAAGCAAATGTAGCTGCTGGTTCTTAAGCTTTTTGATCACACACCACGTGGGCGGATTTCAGAGCGGTTCAGAAAACAACCAAGGCTCCTCCAGAGCAAATCCTTGTTTCTGTGATTATTATAATTTTTAAAAGATAATTCCAGTGCGACATAATACATAATCTCCAGTATTCGTCGGTCTAATAAAATATCAACTGTACCGTAGATGCTATTTTTTTTTTTTTTTTTTGATAATCTACTTGTCCGTACAGGACATTCCATCTCCTTGACTAGTAAGAGCCTTTTTTTGTTGTTACTAGAACCATCTAAAACTGTGTAAATATAAATTACAGCAGATTCTACAATAGCGAACCTGCGGCTTTGCCGAAGATCGAAATCTACAGGGTTTCAACTTTTGAATATCTGACAATGTCTACGATTGATACTGACTCTTTCGTATCAATCATAGACATAAAGCCTATCGCTAAACCAGGAGTGGAAATAGTCTGTCATTGAATTACTACGCTGTTGCCGGTTGGTGATACCTTGTGATTCTCACATATATATTTATTGTACACTGCAACGAGCGAAAAATTAACTGAATGGTTTTATAGTAGCTTGATCAAAGCGGTGATCAGAATGATAAAGGCGAGAAAGAGGTTAGTTGCATACGTAAGGGACAAACATCGTCCCCTGTTATAAATATACATCAATAGAATGGACTATTATCCATAAAGCAAATGGACTGCCTAAATCCTTCTAGACACCCGTAGATGAAAGAAAACGCATAAAAAGGTTCAAATGTTAACTTCTATAAACAGTTACAGGTATGTTTGTAGTTGTATCATCTGCTTGCTGTTCTGTATAGCAAATACGTAGAATAAAAATCTCCTTCGCAAGAAAAAACTGTCTATTCGAAAAGCAGAGCCCGTTTCCTCTTGTGAGCACATGCAATACATAGATATACACATGCATGCAAGTTGGGGATCAAGGGCCGTATATATATGAACCGGCAACGCTATATGCCACCCTATATGAAAGTGCTACAGGGGAATAGTATGAATATGCATAGCCCCCGTATCCCTTCCCGCGTGGCCGTCCCATAAACACCCCCGTTTTGCCCCATTGGACTTATTCTCGAACAAACCATATTTGTATACAATGCAATATAGTCTAGCTAGATTGCCGCCAAGGCAGCAGCGCAGCCCTGGAGGGTATATAGCCATGTACCCATTTGCACGTGGAACTAGCCCGTTGCATAGCCCCGCATGCATAGCCGTGACGCGGCCGCAGCTGTAGTGATAGAAGCTTCTCTTTAGCGCTTCACGCACCCCTTACACATACACAGAAGCACACTCAGAGTCCTTGCAAACACTATGTGATACGTCCCCCATTTACCGGTTTACTCCTGACTACACGACCTCCCTTACAGCATCCTCTTACCGAAGGGCATAGGATGATAATGTTGATGATGACGATGATACAGCAACTACAAACCCAATATTTGGTTTGGGATGTAACCCGGGCGGTTGACTCGATAATGTAGTCCCATGCATAGAAAATGTGTGTGTGTATGCGTTTAAAGGATAAGCTGCAACTTGGCACCGTAATACGCCGATCATGACAATGCGTTCAATGCTCAAAGTTAACTAAAGCTTGACATGCTACGATATAATGATGTAGCATTTCAGCGCAAGTATGGGGACCTATTTTTTGTTGATTATATAACGGTGCCGTAGACAGTAGATGTTAAAAAAGATCCGTCAACTTCACATTGATAACCAGACTACTAATGATAACGATATACTTTGTCTGTTTCAGGAACATGGACGCTGTATGCTCCGAGTATCTGGTGCCAAGTCAGAGAATGCTTTTCAGGTAGATGCGAAAAAAACTGATATTTGCTTCATACTGCTCTACTAGCCGGCACCGTTTCTCAAACTACGATTTGCTACTCTCTCCATTCCGTTTACACTGAAGCAACTCCGCTCCGTCCTGCACAATGCTCAACAGAGGCCCCAACCAGCCATTGTTTTCCCTTCCGTTTACCCAAAATCTTCACAGTCGTCGTCGCATGGCCGTTTCACATAGCATCATTGTGCTTTTTGCCCCTTGCTGGTATTTGGGTTGCTTACTAGCTTCGTTGCCTTATTGTGGCAGCAACAGCGCTGGCCCGCCTCCCTGACTTGCCACTTCTGTCGCTCACAAGGCGCAACTTGCACACAAGCGAACAACATTTTCTCACTTGCTCTACCAACACCTCCACGAATCCTGTGTACTGTCGCAAGGCCCCTGCCACAGCCCCTATTGACCCTCCGTTTCGCCTCTGTCTCCATTTCCCGCTCGCGCTCTTTTCATATCCTCCTTACCGCTATCCTGAAGGAATCAAGCGACTTGCTCCCAGTTGGCGGGAGTTGTTCCTCGTTGTCATCGTTGCCGGCTTCTTCATCTTCGCTCTCCTTGTCTTCCTCCGCGACTAGCACCAGCGCTTCCTCGTTTTCGGATTCTTGCTGGCCAACTTCATCGGCCGGTCGTTGGGTCACTCTGTCGGTCGGTCTATGGCCTCGTCCGGTGTTTTCTCCCTTCTCGTCCTTCCGGCCAATCTCGCAGGCTTTCGTCCGCTCTTCTCGTCGGCCGCCGCCATTGCTGTTGCCGCGTTGTACTCGTCGAGTAGTCAGTCGCCTTTTTTTCGTGCTCACCCGCTTCAGGGCTAAGCCCCAGGCATTAAGGAGCATTACCCAAATCCTTGTCAACAGGTCTACCGCCAATGGAGCCGGTCATTGCTTCTGTCGGATGTCCAACAGCAGCATTCCTTTTTGGGCAAGCCCAATAGAGGTTCACTAGTAGCAATAGTATGCCCTTCCCACACATTACCCTTCAGGAGTTAGCTGTGTGTTGCCTTCCTCGATTCAGCCCGCTTATGCCGCACTGTACCTCTGCTGCCGCTAGACAGCAGTAGCAACTACGTCAATAGAGCCAACAGGTAGAAAGCTTCCTTAACTTCTGATTTCTTCACTCCCTTCCGCTGGCTCAGCCGTCCAGCCCCAGATTCGTAGACTAGCTTGCTGCTTGCCTTGGCCTGGGTTGCCCACTGCTTGGCTACAACTGCATTTGATACTAGTCCTGTTACAACTGGACATTTTGTTGTTCTGTACCGTTATGTGCTCCAGTAAACATATGCTCATGCAATCCTGCGGTTCTGAAAACCTTTCGAATGTCTTGAGTCCGACAATACGGATAGTTTCACGGGTGTGATTAATGTCGCAGTGCTAGCCTTGGCGTGCTATAGCTTCTGATGATGCTCGTAACTGTTTCTGCTGAATTTAGCGAAGCTTTAAGCGCTATCATCTTATTGGACTTATTGATGATTTTATGTTGTTTTTCGTTACTTGTAAATCATTTAGTTAGCAATATGCCTATATCTGACGACAACACTTGGCCACATGCGTATGCATAAAGTGTTTGGTGTTAACCTTTCGTATTTCAGCGTGGGTCTGGGCCGAGCTCACTTCGAGAAGCAGCCCCCGTCGAATCTTCGCAAGTCAAACTTCTTCCACTTCGTCATCGCCCTCTACGACAAAGCTGGTCAACCGGTTGAAGTTGAGCGGACGGCATTCATCGGGTTCGTCGAGAAAGAACACGTCAGTACCATAGCGTATTTTTTTTTTTACATGTAAATGTTAAATCAGATAGTTGAACCAGGTTTGCATTTCATTTTGCAAATTAATTATTGTAATCGCTCGACTACACGTTCTCTCAATATGAGCTGAATTAGATTTCACTTAGGTAATTGAGCAAAAAATTACGTTCCAAAAAAAATAGACCATTGAACAGCCACGTTTTGAATTCTTTTGGAAATAATGTTCTCGTAGCAGCGCTGGACATAGATACACTAAGGACCACAACTAAGACGGTCGTTAGTTAGTTAAGGCGGGATGTCGCTCAGGATCAGAGGATAAATGAATATCGCTAACGTCGCGGTGATTTAGTGTGCTATCAGGCGCATTTGGGTGGGTAGTGACTAGCACTATGAGCGAAGGGCATAGGCATAATTGTCAGGTTCGCCTTCTTCATTCACCATTTCACTGGTCTGTGCGTTCTTATGGCGACTAGGAACCGCAAAGCATAACATGGGATAGGAAAACAAACGACTACCCTCCGGAATGCTCTTCGGTACGCTGGCTTTATGCACTTTATATCGTCTCGTATCTTATTGGTGATGGCGTGACCATGAACTCAAGCCAGGCTTGTTCCGCAGATCCAAATTGAGATGAATACTCATGAGGTCACGAAGACACCGATTATCAACCAGACGCCAACTCAGGCTTTTGACCAACCTCCGCGAACCGACGGACACGACGCGCTCATATATCGATTCTTTAGGCCTCACCTTGGAGACTCAGAGGATAGCAAAGGCTGTCCGGCCAGCCTCATGTGCTTATGCCATTCCGTCCTAGCAGTATCAGCTTTGGATCACTAACCAGTTTTTTGTGGGTTCTTCGTTCCTATAACCGCTCTTCACACCTTTTTCAAGCCAAGAGAGTACGCGGGTAGTTTTGTATCTATCAAAACCTGATATCGAGCTTCAACAGAGGGAGGGGTAAGATGACTCTAAAACATTTCTAAGAATTTTCGAGCTGCGCCAGTACCTGCAACTGTGGGGTTCCTTTGTACTTCGGGTCAGGACAATGGCCAGGTAAGACAACGGTGTGTTATCTTAATTTCGTCTCATATATGAACGAAGCGACACCATAGGGCTTACTTCGCTTGGAGCCGAGTTATAGCTTCGGAGCTTCAGACGATTGGCCTGATATAGCATACACCCAGGCACATGTTGGTCCATCGTTTCGATCCAAAAAGCAAAGAGGCGTACATTATGATTTGACACGTGTTCGTGACTATATCTGCTTCCGCTGTAGCTGGTGTTAAGATGTCGAATTTAAACTGTTGACAAATTAGAGCTGGTACATACTATCTGTATTGCTGAAAAAGTAAGGTAATCGAGTAACTATTTTGTAGCCGTTATACCTATTGAACCGAAAAGGCTAGATAGGATCCAAATTGTTTTTATAATTACTTAAAGCTGTTTATCATTATTGTGAGGAAAATTGTAGTTTTAAACGTTTAGCTAGCTTCTATTATTCATTAAGGCTCAACAAATAAACGCACAAAAGATGTCATCACCTATTGCCATTGTTACGTGCGTTGCATTCAGGACACATGCGTCAGTTACGATGTTCGCGACAGGTTCCTTTAATGATATGTTGTTGGCCTCGTTCGCAGATGGCCATACAGCTGTCGTGCCTGCTGCAATCATCATTTAATGTCCTGTCATACTTTTATCGTCCTGTAGAGTAAATCTATTACTGTCGAAATGTTAACTTGTCCTTGTGAATTTCTATTTCTAATCAAAACCTGTATCTTTTTCGGTATAGAGATCTTGTTCAATTTGCTTAATTCATAGATACTATTCATTATCTTAATTTTTGAATGATAGCAATTGTGAGCACGAACGCAGATACACAAATACAAGGTGGCAATATGCCAGCTCGCTACAACAAAGTGAATCTAGTTGATCAATTGACGATGCTACAGATGACACTGACCATGTCTGTCAGCCACGGTCCAATATTTTTCAACAATATGTATGCAAAAAAACTACGCATATCATTCGGATGTGGTGGTTGCTATCTCACTGTCACTGCCGAAAGGGAAGGTTGGTCAGTTACAGAGTAGTAACAGAAAGCGAAGTGCTCAGGTGCCGACCTGTGCAGGTACTTAGGTTTACCCATATCAAATGAAGCTCCAATTATATCATTCCTATTGTGAGCAGGCCCGTTGACTCTATCTACCTGTGTGTATACGCATCTCCCTGTGAGCTTGTTGTTGCTCGCTTACCATCTGTCGCATGGAGTCATACAGTGGCATCTCCTAGCGTGATACCTATTTAGAGTCAGTCAACTACTGCTGAACGATATATCTAGTGAGACTCGCTACTTACTTTAAAGATGTGCATCGCTTCGTCCGCATATGACTATAACATAAATTGCGTGTCATATCTCAGTGAAGGTGTGTGTGTGTTGACTTCTGCTGAAGGTTGAACTCGTCGTCAGGAGTCACCACCGTCGACAGTTCCGCGTGAGCGCTCAGAGTGACTTCGTGATCGGTCGTGATGCAGCCACTCTAGCTATCCCCATCTCGCTTTCTTCATGAGTAGTTCGCCCCACTTTAATCCTACTTTAATGGGGGGCGGGGGGGTCAAACCGGCGGGTCACAAACTGTTCGTGGCGTTGCCAATCATCAAGTGTATGCACTTTTTGTTTTGTAGCTGTATGTGTGTGTGTGTCAGAAGTCGCAATAAACATTCTAATAGCAAGTATATAGTATAGAGTATTAGGCACTCTGCCCCTCAATCTTTAGCTTCTGCAACGCTGTCCGCTCTGAATGAACTGTGTGACCTCGCGATTGGAGTCTATCTTGTCTACAAGATCAGTCAACCGGGAAAATGAGTATTCACCTAACGGGCAACTTAGCCGTTGGGTGGCTAGTCAGCCAAAGCGTTTTTGGTTAGGCTGTGCAGGCCGTGTCCACCCCTCGTGTTATACTTGATCGTGCATGGTACGCGTACAGCGAAGAGCTGAGTCGTCGACGGGGTCCTCGTGACGTACGTGAACAGTGATCGGGCAGGCCACTTGTTTCGAGGTTTGCCAGAGTTTCCTGTCCCGTCGCTAGTTGATGAACCTGCGACTACGATGAGGGGTGACGACCATATAGGTAAATGAAACCGGTGAAGTCACGGTGGTTGTAGCAGAGGCGACGGTGACTTTGAAACTGATGCTTTTCAGTGTAGCGGGTCTATTGAGGTCAAGTGAGGCTAAGGTCTATCCTAGCCGGAAAGAATCTGAAGCATTATTAATAGGCGAAAGAGCCGATATTTTCAAATTCTACTAGTCTCTTTGCAAATTGGTTCATTGACTCAGTGATTCCAAGTTTTGAGGGCCTTCTTTCTGTTTTCCTCTGCCTGTGAGTGTCGAAGCCGGACGATATATAGCAGTATGGCTACTTAGTCCGATCAGCCAACGCTTCCCGATGAACACCAATAGCAAGTTATAGCCATTGGTAAAAACTCCGTATTGTCAACAATAATAAGCAAGATGCCACAATGAGCCTGTATTTCCCGTAACCTAAAAAATCATCGTGCTTGGTTGGGGGGCATAATGCACCAAGTATAAGGTCGTAGCGGGCTATGGTGGTTGAGATCAACGATGCCCCGATACTTCTACCTCCACTGGCGTTACCAGTAGAACGCAGGGTCGGCAACAGTCGACAGGCAATAGTGGGCTTAGGGTATGAATGCTGTCACTCATCGCGTCATTTTGGTAAACATTAGTCTTGGTGATGGCGCTTATCGGTAATTGAATCCTGCTGATTCACTGGACAACGTATTGAGAGATAATGCATTAGCAGAAAGTAAGAACCACAAATAATAGATAAATTATAATGAGGTGCCGATGTTGAATGGTGATGTGAGACCACTGTGCGTTTCCGTATCGGCATGCTCTGCTTGCATGGTGTTTGTGCGTATCGGTGCATATTCAACCACAACGACGCTCTACTTTACACGGCAACAAACAAGCACGCACCCATCATATACACTGGAGGTGACACTGTGTAACCGAGACCTGACGCGATATCGCCGGGCATACGATGCCCGTGCTTGGTATGTTGTGTATTAAACTCTCTAATAGTTCGAACGTCGGTTACCGTTAGTTGGCGTACCATTTTGCCCACGATAATCCACTAGCTTGATTTGAGTTTTTTTTGGGAAACGGGCAGGGAATAGGGGGGTTTACTCGAGAAGACGCGAGTATATGTTGGAAGTGAGCTTTATGGGGAGGATGAGATGGAGGTGGCCTGGGTGGACGCTCGCGGCCCGAGATAGTGGCTAATGCTACTCCAATCGGGTTAGCAGTACAGTCCCGGCTAGCCATGAAGTTAGCTCAGAGCAGGACACCCATAATCTAGCGGTATCAGCCATGGACGGCCATAGCGAGTGTTGCCTTCAAGGCGGCTGACCCTTCTCAGCCAATGCGACGATGGTGCGCATACACACGCATACATTTCCCCACTCAGCTAATGTCCTTAACCGCCTCGGGGTCCTGGCCCAGACACATGGGAGAGCACGCGGCAATCTTCTATAGCAAAGACGGTTAGACTAGCTGTCCTATACATATAATAGCACAGTAATGTATATTGTTTGTTCTATTCTATATACAAGGACAGTTGCTCACACTGTGCCGATGTACTTCCAGCCCCAGCAGGGGGCGCTGTGCAGCCGCACGTTATTATTATATATTTAAGTATTTATATACATGTACTTGTATTCTCAGGAACTGCTATATTGTAACTGGATTGCCGAACGTGAATTAAATCCTAATAACAAGCTTTCTTTTGTGATACCTTAGCTTATAACGCGACAACAGCCTTGTACACAGCCTACAATGAACACGATAAAAGTCTTCTTATGAATTTGCAGAGACTGATTTGAAATGTTTACTAAAGACAGTACGTATGTGTGCTTTTCAGGAACCCGATGGACAAAAAACCAACAACGGCATCCATTACCGACTGCAATTGCTTTTCGCTAATGGTCTGTATCATCCAGAACTAAGGATATTGTTAACGGACGCGTATTTACCACTTATCGTCTTCAAGCTTGATTACGACAACACATATAAAAATTAGGAAGATTCCCGGAATCGCTTTTGCGATCTAACTTATGCAAATTTATTGAGGGGAGGCGAGTAATCTTATCTATTTTTTGTACGAGACACAATCATGCTTGCGTCACACTCGTCTCGGAGAGCAATTAAATTCTATTACATAACGCTTGGTAGTGTCTAGAGAGCAGACTGAGCTGCAAACCAGTCTGCCTAATCTATCTATTCGCATAGTCATTGGTTTATGTATTCCACTAGGCGATCATCAAGCTTTCATTAAATGTTTGTGACAGTCACGTCCTGCAAGAGAACAGCAGGAATGAGTACATTCAAAGCGAACATATATGGCTTGAGAAAGAAATTGAGAAATGGGGCGCTGCAGGTACAATCCGGAGCTCGAAAAAGCTGAGCTTCATATAACGTCCTTTTTCAGGTAAATGAGTGAATCGGTACAAACTGATCTCTCTCTCTCCACACATTTACGCGAGGAGCGCCTGCGGGCAACCTGTGGCGGTCGCTGCAATGATGATTACTTCCACAAGATTTACTTCAGTCACGGTCCTCTCGGCAAAAGCCTTAGAATAGGTGGATTGGATAGATGAAAAGGTTGTAAGGAGGAGGGGAAGAGGAAGCGCGGTAGGGAAATTGGTGCTGGTGGTAGGTGTTAGATTCTAGGCCAGGCTGCCAAGCCGAAGGCAAGGTGCCGGTCGTAGTTATGATGGAATTTAGCGAAACAGGCGAACGGCGGAGCCACTGCAATGGCAGTGGTCAGGAAGAGACAGCTGCGGTCCAGCTCGGCTGCTTTCGCTACAACGGCGGCGGCGGCGGCGGCGGCAGCAGCAACGAATGGAATAAGTCGTAAAGTATTCGCGTAAAGGATGAATAATTCATCAACATTTTATTTATATTGGCTCATGAATGGAAGAGGAAGAAGAACTGACCAGCTGGTAGCATTAGCAGCAGACGAGTTGGCGGTGTAGTACAACTGTGGAGCATACGTCGCTAGAGAAGACGACGACGACGACGCAAACGAAAGAGAAAAGGAAAGAGCGCGGCTTTCTCGTCGTACAACCCAGTTGAGACTTTCTCGTGACGGCATGCCTCTCCGCACCGAAGCTCCTCTTGCTTCGCTTTACTTCATCGGAGCTTGCCCTGCTTCGCTTAACCGTCAACGGGCCGGGAATCGCTTTACCAGCCAGCTTTCTCCAAGCCGACGAAGTCGGTTAGAGGCGGCAGCGGCCCTATGACTTCTCTTCAATTTTCCGTTTCTAGACAGAATCTCACTGTAAGTGCTGCCTGCGATGACCCCGATTCTCGAAGCTCAGTGGATCAGGAGCAGTGCAGAAGAGGTGCCTGTTGATCCCTCGCTCGCTGAGCTGGAAAAGGGAGAAAACAGTAATTTGATGGACCTCGTTGCGGAAACCCCGTCTGAACGGGACAACTGGTCATCATGATGTTTTCAATATTTTTTAAGTAAAGGTTACAATCTGGCTTTGAATATAT